TATTCTATTCCTTTCCCATCTTTTCCAGCTATTCAGTTAGTGACCATTTAGAATGCTGGATATTAAATGTTACTCTAGTAAATATGATACTTTTCTGTTCAGAATCTCTCAGCCTGTCTGTGCTACTTGTCTGCTTTTTGGTCTGGGTTTCATACGAACAGGAAAGATTTTATTTCTCATTTTTTAATAACGGTTATATATTGTTGTCCCACTTTATGATTAGGGCATGATTGCATCTCAGATGACTCTGGAGGCTGAGTTTTCCAAGTTAAGAGTCAGATCATGGAAGAAAGGTGAAGGAGAAGAAGCTGGTACCTGGGAGTGACAAAAGCCACAGCAAACCAGTGAGAAAAGACTGTTAGAGATGGATGAGCTTTTGATGCAATAAGGCTCCAAAGGTGTGTAACCTCTAGAAGAGCTACTCTGGCCTGCTGAGAAAGTATTTAATCATCTCATCACCTAGTGAGAGTTGACAAATGGAAGACAACTACAGTGTTACAACAGGAATTAGAGGCTCACTGAAAAGACCAGCGTGAGCCAAAGGATTGAAGACTTCAATCATGATGGAGAGAAAACCTGAAGAAGGTAGTAATAGGTATGAACTAGGGAAGAAACCCGCTCTGCAAGCTAAGCCACTTATTCTGCTGAATACAATTCTTTTTTATTCTTAATGCCGTGGTCCCATTATGGGAACAAAAGCATGGCACAAACTCACCAGGCCTCCTCCTTTTCTCCTCAGAGAATCAGTTCTGAGTTGGCTATGAAACCTCTCCTGAGTTCACTAACCATCTGCCTTCGAAACTTCCTCCTTTTTAAACAGCACCTCAAGCATTTTTTTTCCATGCTTACTAAGTTTACGGCTACTCACCCAGATTTTAAGCATTTTCTCTTTCTAGTTCACACAAGTAGCAATATTCTACCTCAATATCAAGTAATGGCAGAAACTAGAGATTGTTGCTTGTTGAAACCAGTCCTCAGACCACTGAAAGCCCCCTGAGTTGACTTACGTGTTTATTTCTTCCTCTGACTCCTCCACATCAGAGGAGTATTTGGGTGGCTGGAACTCAGTTCTCCATCTTGTGTCCTGAGCCCACTGGGCTGCTTTCAGTGCGTTCTTCCTCTCCTGTGATTCTTGGTGAAGTATATGAAAGTATTCTCCACCTTGCTTCACAGAATTGATATGATGCCTGCCAAAAATCATCACAAGTTGGTCAGTGTACTAAAGACACACTATCAAATTGATTAATTTCTCTGTTGCCCACCAACTTAATTTTTAACCGAGATTTTGCATTCTTCTATATTCAAGAGTTCAACATTAGTATTTCCTTCTGCAATATAACAAAGGACAACAATTCCCCAACAGGAACAGGGACATCTTTCCCTTATCTCTTTCAGCACCGCACAGGTTAACTATTGGATGTCTTGAACTCAGCATCACTTTGTCTGCTACTTGATTTAAAAACTCCCTGCCTAATTCTAATTTATAGCAGCCAATTGACCACTGGGCTCCTCACTGTCTTAACTGAGTTGTCACAGCCTGACAGGCACTGCGCTGAAGCTACCTTTTAGCTGCTAAATTCCACTTGCTGTCAGAAGGCTGCATTGTTAGTAACAGGGAAGGTGCCAGCAAAGCTTGTGAGTGAGCTGAAGACAACAGGCAGGATATTGCTGCAAGAGAAGAAATTAAAGAAGAAACCATAATGCACTCCCTATAGGCGGGCGGGGAGTGAGCTAGGGCAGTGAAAGGGATACGGCACACAATTACTCTACAGCCTTTGATTAAAAATGTTAGCAAGAATGTAGCAGTTGATCCAAGTCAGACAAGCATACTATCCAGGCATAGGACACATCCCTTTACGTTAATGTGTTGCTGCTTTTGAATCAAGTGTCATCAGGCTGTACTGATTCTTTCAAACACAAATTAGGCTTGAAAGCTAGGCCTCATTTGTTCTACTGACAAGTAATAACTCCCTTTTCTTACCAGACATGGATTAAAGCACCTGAAGGCCATATAGGGTGCAAATTTCAGGCACAGAACTCACTAGTTCTCAAGGGGAGCAGTTTACTCCCTCCTTGCTTCCCTTGATGAAAAACCAGTTGCACAATTTAATCGTTTTGGGATTGGGTTTTTGGTTTTGTTGACATTATTTTTTAAGTCCAGCAACTAGAAATACAAGCCTGAAAACATTTCCAGTTCAGGTAGATAACCTGTCTGCTAGATATTTCTATACTAACTTTCGAAAAAGAAAAAAAAAAGATAAGAAAATAAGATGTCCCTGATAAGAAATGCTGCATGCTTTAGAAAAACATAAGGATTTCGGGGTCGTGTCAGACTGGCTTAATGTTTTTCATAAGAACCTAGTATTTTGCATAACAGACTTCTCTTGGAATACTAGAAAACGTTTAATGGCCTCAAATTCTTCCTTTATGTCCTTTTCCAGTAGTTTTCTCTCTCTCCTTTCTGCCAACTATCAAGATATTTTTATGTAAAAATATTTTTACCCTTCGTAGTGCTTTTTCTACATTTCTGCATGCACTAATGTAAGTATTCCTTCTTAAAGATCAAAACCCCTGCTGTAGCTGTGTATTATAATGCCACAATTAGTGAACAACGAGGTTATTACATGAATCAAAGTGATAGAGAAAGATAATTATAAACTAGAAAGTTCTTTTACACTAACAGCCATAACCAGTGTTATTGGAGAAAGATGCATAAATGGCAAGTACAATCAGTACTTTTTTTTAAGGTTTATCTAATGCACAAGGCTTTAATATGCGTATACCAAAATCAATGATCACTCTCATATACCCATAGGAATAGGAAACGTTATGCACACTTGTGAATGAACATTTTTAGTCTATGACTTCCTTGAAGTCCCAGGTATAACAAAATGTAGCTCTACAGTCTCCAAGTATGGAAAAAGACATAAAATAGAATTAACAGAAATGCAGCATAAAAAAGCTGTAATAACTACCTGATTTAAAAAAAAAAAAAAATCCTCTCATAATTCCATAGAATTATTTCTGGGATATTTATGAATGACCCTAAAGGTTCATGGACTCTTGTCAGGAAAACGGTAAAATGAATCCAAACTTAAAATACAGAGGTGACCAACATACTTTTCTACACTGTGGATTTACAGTATATTGCTGGAATAGGACACCAAATATTTCTCCATTTACACTCTGGCATCACAATACCCTGTTTATACAATAACTTAATAAATTTACCTGGGCTGCCTATTTGACAAGTAGGTGAGAATCGTTCATTAAAATGCAAATGTAATCGAGATTAAATTTGGAACACATTTATTAAAGTAATTGAGCTTCAGTCAACTGTAGTCACAACACAGGTTTTCAACTGCCATTCAGACAAAAGGATTTGTCTTGCTTTTCTAAGTTAATATCTTTATCAGCATGAAAATTAAAAGAGTTTCCTGAGCAGTAATAAAGTACCATGGAATACTTCAAGTTTTCTCTACATGAATGTAGTATTACAGATAAGGGTCAATGACAAGTACCAAGGAGTGACCCAGTAGTGTACTACACATACAGAAGCAAGTGTATTTTTAGTGCTTGGTGTAACTACGTACTTATTAAATTACTCTTTAAATCCTTTAGGGACGCAAGGTCATCAGTTAATTGTAATACAAGGCCATTAAACTATTAGGGAATTGAACCTTTACTACTAAGATTTTAGATTCTTGGTGCCTTTCTTTGAGTAAGAAATGACTCATAAAAATAAAAGGAAACCATAAAATTTGTCTTAATTATAATTTAGGTGCTAGAAAAACATTAAGAAGCTATGATAATAATGCCAGAAACCTTTGCATCAGGGTAAAGACAAGCTAGATATTTACCAGATTTTTTTACCTTCTGTTTAAGTATAACTTATTTAAGTACCTTGGGTCATCTTCACTAAATTCAAAGGAATCATACTAAGGATGTATTTGTCCCAGCAGATCAAATTTTACAGTTAACAACCTCACATCTACTGTGTACACAAACAAATTCAGTGGGAGATGGTTTACTAAAGGAATGACATGCACTCCTGAACATGTGATGCCAAATCCTTGCTCAGGTAAGCTGGTATAACTCCAGCCTGAACAGAATTGCTAGAAAGACGGGCAGAAGGCTGCACACCCATGTGGCTGTCCTTCTACTAAGCAACTGTATTCAATGCAGTGGGTGTTGTTACCCGGGTGCTTCAGTCTCCTTAACTCTTCCTGCTAATCTCCCTCTGTCCCATTCCCTGAGGTGCAAAGAAGTTGCAGTCTATTTATACCAGCTTGATTCTCTGTCTCTTTAAGGCTGAACATTATGATCATGGTGAACAAAAATTGTGAGCTGTAAGTAAAATAACTATGTATCTATCAAACAATATAACTACTTACATATTTCTCTGATCATGGAAATTTTTAGCCACTGTTTCATAAAATGGCTTATTCAATTTTCTTATCTTAATGGCTACAGCCTTTATATCCATAAAGCTAATGAAAGAACATCTCCTGCTCCAGATGCTATACAGAAAGAATTTAGCCTTTTCCAGAGGCTTATAGCCAACTGTAAATATAAATGAAACCAACGTGGCATTGTTCCGAAAGCCACTGAGAGCACAGGCTTTCTAAATGCCATTTCCTATATTTTCATAAAAGCATTTCAATCTGCATCTGCAACAACTCCCTACTAGACCAATAAAAGCTCCCTTTGGGCACAAGGCCAGACCCTGCTGAGGGTGTTGCAAGGTGAATATCGGCCGGGCACTGCCTAACCTGTTGCACTAGTGACAAACTGAATATGAGCTAAGGCTTGCCAGGTGAAAAGCAAGTGCAATTTTATGCACACTGCCACTTAAAAGCATTCTGAGTAAATATTTTCTATAGCAGAAAAAGTAATACAAACAACAATCCATTTCTGTATAAAACAGAAAGCACGGGAGGCAATAACTTTGAAACTCCAGTAAATACAGCTAAACTGTATTCCGAACATTACAGATGAAAACTACGGATTAAAATCCAGTATAATTCTCCTAAACAAACACTTAGCATTATTTGCAGCCATGCCATCGTGAGCTGTGATCCCATCACAAATCTCAAATGAGGCTGATGAGTATTTGGATCCTGAAGAATTCAAAGAAATATCCACTGAAGGAAGCAGTAACAGCAGCAAACTTGCTTCATTTGGATTAAACTTGAAATCTATGCCCTTACCTAGCTTTAGGGGGAACTGTGGTACTGGAGGGTCTGTCTTTTTGAACGTACAATAAAACGGAAGTTCTGACAACCTGAAGTTTTTAAGGATCCTATGGTAATATCTGCAGGAGCACAAGCATTAACACCTGCATTCTCATCAGATTTCAATTGATTAAATGTTACTTCCCTCACTGCTGTTTCAGTTGGAATAGGACACTTTTTTTAATCATTCCAGTCCCCCAAAATACTATGTTGTGTGTATGCGCATTATCAGACTCCATTTGAGCTGTTGCTGCATTCTAATAGCTGCAGTAATTCTTATATGTCCCTTAACTTTCTGACAAGGTGCTGTAACACCTAAATAGGTGCTGTAACACCTAAATAGGTAATAATCGTAAAACAGCAGAAAATGCCAAGATAAAAGAAAATCCATATGCACACAGTGCTTTTCTTATTTACAAAGCACACACAGAACAATAGGAGAGCAAACTCCGCATTTCTTGTAAATTGTCAACAGTGATACTGATTTATACCAGCGGAGAATCTGTTCCATTCTTTTATCGGTAAATACTGGAGCTGCTGACCGTTTCACTCGGTTCTTTAGTGCCTTACATTCAGTGTTGTAATCTAGGTCAGTATGTCCCAAATTTATTTACATTAAGACTGCTTTACACCTTTGCTGAGTGATGTAAGGCAGTCTCATTGTAAATGAGAATTAGTGCACTGTTCACTTAAAATATACTCAAGTGAGTTATTACAGGGTGCATACGCTACCCACCTTCTGAAATTACCAAAAGCCATGGAGTTAAGTTTACATGGTGGTGAGCCTGAGCTAGCAAGTCCTACTATTGAGCTCCACATTCAGGTCATATCCTGAAAGCTTAGCACGTGGATGACTGCAACAACAATTGCAACTACTCACAATCAATATGTAGGTACTAACATAAATTAATTACGAATTCTGGTTTGGTAGTGTTTACAGCCAAGTTAGAGAT